GACGGCAGGTCTCACTGCTCCGAATATTAAGAGGACACTATCAAAACAAAACTACGCAGAGAGGATGCCTTAATGGCATCCCACCCACACTCGGCGTCGTCTGATGAGGAGATTTGACTATAGATACTTTTCAGCAGACTTCAAAAAAAGGAAGTCCTCAATTCGGTTGTATTTTTTTTATATTTTTTACCTCATAACTCCGTTAGTTATAAACCGATTTAGATAATTCTATTTTTTATAGTAGTGAATTGGCAAATAAGCATACGGCTCAGCTGATGGTAAGCGGTTATCGTAGCCTATGAACGCCTGTCAGGGGCATTACGCGTGCGTTGCCGACCCCGAAGAAACCTCTTTACCCATTTTTGAAGAACCCCATGCTGTCTCTTGAAAAATCCTCTTTTATTTGAAACAGTATACTTACCTACTTACAAAAAGGTTCCATAGAAATTTTATCAAAATCGACTCAGTACTTTAGTTTTAAAATCAAAATAACTGGTTTTGCCAACTTTTTTGGAAGTAGTTTTTTTTCTGTAGAACACACAATGTTAAATTATTGTTAGTTAACTTTTATATTGTTGTCGCCTGATTGTGATATTTCTTTACAATCGAAGGAGTTCCTACTGCCGTGGTTGCTCGTATTCATTTTGTAAAGGACTAGTTTATTCTCAAATAACATTTAAAAGAAGTAAATTTTCAATTCATTATATTTTTTATTTATATCATACGCGATAGCTGCGCCAATTTTAAACCAATTTTAGTAATTTCTTTATAAAGATATACAAACAGCGGTGCATAGGATTGCGATTCTTTATCTTCTTAAAAAGCAGCTAAAGCCAGATGGATCTCTAACGTAGGACACATCATGAATAAGGCATGGCGGTGGCGCCTTGGGTGGTTTTAACAACCGACTTCAAAGGAAGAGGACAATTTGGTGATATTTTTCTTGTTACCTCATAACTCCGCCAGTTATAAGTCGACGCGGATTTTTTTTTCAAATGGGTCCCACAGAGATTTTATCAAAATCGGTTTAATTTTTACAACAAATAATCAATTTTGCCACTTTCTCAAACTTATACCTATAATCGACGATTACCTTAGACGGGTTCTGAACTCGTCAGCTTGTTTGCCGTTCTTATTAAAAATATTTTTATCATATTAAGTACTATGTAAATCGCCGGAACTATAAGCTGTGACAACAGTGAGTGATCTTGCTTAGTATGCGTGGAGTGTTTGCGTGGCTAGTCGAAAGTAATGGGCGGTTGTTTACCACCAATTTATAGCACGATACAAACGTATTGGCCGTGCTCCTGCGCAGGATGCGCGCCCATTTGTTGAGAGCAGCGGGGAACGGGGAGTGGCAGCGGCCGGCGGCCGGCGGCCGGCGGCCGAGCGGGTTGCGTGCACGCACATCCACACAACACATCAAGCTTATCCATATACAAATTATACTAGAATACAAATTAGAAGGCATTCAATTAATAAACAATCATTCTTTCATGTGTATTTTGTGTGGTGCATAGAGAATGGGCCGTTATTGTAGTTCAAATGAACTATTTGAGGGCTGCGGATTGTTAGTAACGACGACTAGCAATCGTATTGCTAGCAAAATAGCATGTCAAGTCAATTTCCATGTGGTTATAAGAAATAAACATTGTTTACTCAGTGTGACTTGTAATTGTTTGTGTTTATAATAAGTTTGTAATTTTTTGTAAGAAACAATCATGTGTATTTATATATCTACCGAGTGGATGACTCCTAGCGAGTTCATCAAGATCAACTGACCACACTTTATACTTTTATATCTATCATTAAGCGATAACCAACAGCACAATTTTTTTTTATAATATATAAGAGGCATTCACTGTTTACTAATTCTACTTAATTATTTATAAAATTGGTACTTATATTGATGATATAAATAAAATAAACAGCGTCGATGTAGAGTTGATAAATGGTGGAATTTGGAATTCAGTGAACATAAAAAAACAATTCATATGATTAAATCTATGGCAGTGTAGCTCTCGCTTATAATGGTAAAAAAGATTTTTTTCCAATTCGCAGCAATTACTCCAGCTAGACGGACAACAGTTCATTAACATCTCACGAGTGCCGTCGGCGCGGCGGCTGTGGTAGGCGTGTGAAGGTCCCGTGTCCAGCGCGACCGGTTATCGCGATGGGCAACTCACAGCCAGTGTTCTGCGGGACGTCGGCTGTCGGCCGGACCGCGGATTCTCGCAAAAAACGCCTGGGCTCAAGTGCCTGCCATACGTTCAGGTACCTACTGGCCCAACGTTCGCAAGCGCCAAGGTCAGCTTCTTACGACCACCTAATTATCAGCGGAACGGTCGTTTTCTTCGCAAGCGTCTATGGCGTTTGAGAGGGATGCATTCATCGTAATATTTATTTCAATTACTAATGTGAAGTGCCTGCTTGTAATGACATATCGTATCTTATTGTCTAATAAAGATCATCTGGAAGGCACACACTTATGCGATTTTATTTTACGTTTTTTCGTTAAGCATGAAACAATAAGATTTTTTTTCTAAAAGAATTACTTTACTAGTTAAGAATTCGATTCTAATGGAGCGCTCATTTCGTTGAGTGCAAGCTAAAAAGCGATAATTGTCTAATAGAACAAGTTGTCATAACATTATGTTCTTAATACTCTTAGATAGATTTTTTTTTAAATAACCCGTCATGTGATCTGACCACCTTCAGGGTCAATATAGTGCATAAACGAAGGCAAAGGCTATAGTAGTTATTAACAAATATAAATTAAAAATTACGGAATCGGGAACTCGATCTTATTCCACGTACATACGTATGTCTATTAGTAGAGAGAAGAATCAGTCGCAATCAATAGACTCGAGAGTTGCTCAATTGAAAACAGATGCACGCATCGGTGTACGCATCGGTCCCACGATACGTAGCAGTGGTCGGTAATTAGGAGTTCTTAATTTACACCCGTGTAAGGATGGTATTCGGTTACGATACGAATTCGCCGGAGTACCTACGGACGGCCTTGTGGCTTACACATAATTTTAGCGAACGACTAACACAGTTCCCCACACGCGACGTATATGGTATATGGGCGGCTACATTAGAAACTACGTGTTATATTAGGTTCAAACATCATAAAGGCCTATAATATTATTTTACTTTAATAGCAATGTATTTGAAACAACAGGATGTAATAATTTTACATTTAAGCCATGATCCAGTAATATGAGTAGAAATAGTGTACAAGCTAATTGTTGTATCTGATAAAATATGGTAATTGTTGTTACTTTGTCTATAAATAATAACATTAATAACTCCTTTGTCCTCGGTATGGCGGCGTCCATGTATAGGTGGTACAGACAGACATCTGGCTAGTCGTCGTCGCTCTGGTCTTCTGCCGCGCATGGCAATGCATGAAGGGTATCATGGATGAAACTGTATACTCTGTTGTCTTGGTACTGTTCATGTCTATAGATGAAAGTTACTATTTTCCATTAGGTTGGCCGTCAACTTGTTTACCATTCTAAACTGCATTCTTTAATCTATAGAAGAACTCTGCTTTGTAGCACATGCAACTTTTCTGGTATTATCATCATGTGGGCTGTCTCCACTACATAGTCTGTACCCATCATATCCCACCTATCCTAACCCAACTATAAAACAGTCTATTATGTTCAAAAGTAACACAAATTAAAAAACGGTAAAGTCATTAATAATTTTGCTTTGTTACTTATACAAGTATCATTTATATGATAGTGTTTCTATCATAATTCCAACAATATTGGTTGCTTTTTAATCCAGTTCCATTGAATTGAAATATATTGTATGTCATATACAGCATACTTTATATACGGCACACATCCACTAGGCATCCATCAGGCGGCAACTGATGATAATACTGAAGTCTTCTTGTCCAACACTTTTTTTCTATTTTAAATTAATCCTCTATTATTTTTTGCCTGTATACATCAGCATATCTACAGACAAATAATAATAAGGGCTACATAATAAAGGCCCGCAGCTGTTTTCAACAATTTATAATTAGCCCTAATGAATTATATTATTTTGAGTTGTTTTCCAGATCTTACATATGATAGGTTTACAATATTTTGAGTTATATTTTCCAGATGTAAAACAGGCCAGGTGGAAATTTAAAAGAGTATATAGAAAATGTTCTGATCAAGTCATTAAAACTTTTCAATACAAACACAGGCAAATGTGAGAATGTGGTTAATTAGACTGAACAATAGAGTTTTATATTATTAAATGATGTATAAAATATATTCTAATCCTGAGATCACAATCATTTACATAATATAAATAATAAATCATTAATTTCACTTAATTTTGTTTTTGTATTAGATTTTTCTATGATATCACTTACCATATACCATAATATGTATTCATTAACTGAAGAATGTCTGTCTCCACAATCTTTATATATACAGTTTCCATCAATATACCACTTTATATATATATATATATATATATATATATATATATATATATATATATATATATATATATATATATTAATATTTTATAATTGATTCTTTATGAGCATTCCTAAATAGCTTGGATAATATTTAACAGTATAACAATTATACCATAATGTCAGCACTGTACAATATTAATATGATTGTTTATACAATATTTCTATATATTGTTCATTAATTATGACTGTACGCTTCTAAAATAATTAAATAAATTAATGTTTTTTTAATATTTGACTTTTGTATTTCCTAGTAAGGATATTGTATGTTTTTATGTTTTCCCACAAAAATCTTATTAATGGTGGAATTAAAATATTAAAGCAGATGGTATGTATGTACTGTAAGAATTGCTTAGCATCACGCAAACTGTATTCTTCATTATTTTTGTTACTTAAAAAAAAACATGATCCATACAGTGATGGTCTTACGAACTGGCTAGATTCAGTTTGAATTGATTGAATATTTAATATTACAAACAAAGTACTTATGTTATGCTGAAGTACATACCAGGGTGTGGAAGAGGTTCAGCTGGCTGTGCCGCCGCCGCCGGCGCGGCGACGCACACAGCTGCTACAAAGGCGGCCAGCACGGCCGGCCTGCCACACGAAGGGCTCATTGCACCCTCTTATTGTATTAACATCTATTTAATATCATCACATAAACAGCACCGCGACCCAATGTCTCAAAAGACATTTAATATCACTTCTATTTTTATTAACCGACTGTGGCGTGCGACCCTTCAATACCGGGCAATGCCCCCGAGAAATACTTGTCTTTTAAATTACTGTTCGTCCCACTAATGATAGGAAGTCTACTATAAAACTTCCAGTTAGAATAATTATGTAATTAATTATTTATTTTATTTTTCGCACACGATTAATACAGTTAACTACTTATTTATAAACAATACACAAAATACACAGCACGAAACGAACGCGTCGCTTTCGCGCCGCAGATAAACTAAACAAAAACAAGTTATCAAAATTCACGACAGCGTTGCTCAACGATATAACGTTATTGACGGATATCGTTCAATATCTCTTTTGCAATAACTGTTTGGAATATTATTCCAAATAGTTATTACAAGTCTAATAATTATAATAGCGATATTCCCAAGATCAAATAATTATTTTCTTGAATTTCTAAAATAAATACTAAATTGTAACAACATCTGATTGAATAAGGATTATTTCTGTTATAAAAACAAACATTTCTCTATAATTTGAAAGAATTACCTAAAACGTGCTCTCGTAAAGAATTAAAAGATTATCTTGACTAAAATCAAAGTTATACTCAAATCAATGTCAATCCAAAGTTTTACATGAACCTACATTTTAATAATTTCTCTTTTTTGATTTTTCAAATTATGTTAATAAGAAGTTTTTAAATAATATTTTTAGTAAAAATACTTTATTTCTTTGAGAAAGTTACAGTATATGTATTTTAAACTGTTGTCATATAACACAGAGCTCTTTCACATTTAATACAAATTTAACAACATTCCATTTTAAAAAATTTGACACAATTTGGGTTACAAGACTGTTGTATAAAATTCTTTATCAAAAACACATACATACGTTTGAAAATATTGCGTCGTTTTTTTTGTCAATCAAGTATTTTATTACTTGGGTAATTGATACATTTTAAGCAGGAGATATATCGTAGTTCATAAAAATGTATAGTAAGTTATAAGTGTTTAATATCAGTTATTTCCTTTCCTAATCATTGAAAGCCCATACCTCGTTATGTCAAACCGATGTTGACATCTAAATGTCATTGTCAAAATTTTTGAAGTTTCGACTACGACAATTGACAAATAATAATAAAGTAATTTTCATTTGATTGTACTCTTTTTCTGAGGAATAATTTTTATTAATTGTGTACGTACCTATTTTTTATTTTTTGTTTTACTAATATTAATGTAAAACTTTTATTTCATAAATAAATTGCATTTTTGTAAGGAATTATGTAATCATTTTTACCGTATAGGTTAAGTTTATTTTTTATACCCGTTTTAATGTTTTTCTGCCTGTTATGATTAGAAATTATATTTAATAATTTCATTAACATTGCCAAATATTATTAAAGGACTTACAAAGTAGTGATTATAAAGTTAAAATAAAATTAATTTAATAGAAGACAGTGCAAAAGTTGTTTATTTTTTTCTCAGAACCATGGGCGGTCACGGCCATGAACCTCCGTACAAAATTCCGCCATATACACAATTCCAGATCAATGGTATCCCTCAGTTGGAAGAGCTTGAGAGAGCACTCGCAAAGAAGGGGCTTCGTGACCCATGGATTAGGTCTGTGTTTTGAATTTTTTGTCTTAAATTTTTTGCTTATTAGGTTCAATCATATATTATTGAAAGTGAAAAATTTGAAATATGTTTTTGATAATATTTCTATATAAATTTTCAATTATGTGGAACATTCCTAAGTTTCTAATCATAAATAAAAATGTTGACTATATAAATATATATTTAATGGCTGTGAACCTATTGCAGGTCACAGTCAACTTCTAGGGTTCAATATAGATTAACTTGGGTTAGGTATCAGTTTTTAAGCCTTAATTACAACATAGATGTAAAAGTTATATACTATATTATATCTAAGTTCTACAACATTTTAATAAAGCTATAAATTAACTACTAATAATTTGAGGTGTTTTTCTGATGTCAGGAGTTGGCATTTGTAAATAAATATTGCATATATTTACAGAATACATCATCAGAAACACTTGTAAACATCATTGTTTCATTTTCCACCAAGTAGGTTCATTAAATTGCACATAGTTGTTTCACCTCCTTTCAGTTTATCCTCACAGACTTAACCAAATCCTTTACAGTGCAAGCTGCTAGATTCTGGAATTCCCTTCCAAATAATACTAGAATGACACAGACTGTCCGTGCCTCCAAAGCTCAAACAAAAAGATTTTACAATTGACAATTAAGTTGTATGTTTATATATATTTGGTTATATTTATGTATTGTATTATAATTGTAGTGATAAGGGTGTGCTCAGGACCTGGGTTTCTCTCATAATAACTACGCCATGATTGATACTGCTGTTTTTCTTTAAGCAAAATCCGTCTTAGATTTGCAACATATTGAGCTATTAGGATGTAAAAATACTGTAGTACATGTTCATGCAAATTGAGTATAAGGATCTTTATACTCAATGAATGTGGAGATCTGATCAATCAACAAATAATTCTTTCTCAGGAATGAAGCATGGAGGTACCACCCTGGATTTGGTACAAGGTTGCAACGCGCCAAGAATGTGTTTTTCCGTGGCTTTAGCATTGGACTAGCGCTCACCGTGGTGGCGGTCGGCGCTGAGAAGCTCCTGGGTGGCGGTGGGGACCACGGGGACCACGGCCATGAGGGTGGGCACTGATTTATGTCTAGGATAGGATATCTTTAGTTCATCATAATTTATACACTTGCATTATGGCTTCTGTATTTACATAAAATACTTGATCCAAACTGTATATTTGATTCAATTACATAATTATATAGACCTTTGATTGTTATTTTTTTGAGATTGAGAAGATCAAGTGTGAATGTGTGGCACTTGTTATATAGTTCATGTTCTGTTGATACAAGTGTGACCAGGTTTAATAGCTGATAGCGAGTAGTGAAAAGAATATCATTATGTCAGTCAGCATGCAATGGAAAAATGGCGAAGTACCGGTGTTGATTTATTCTGTCCTCCTTAGATATAGGGTATGTCTTATAAACTTGCTTGATTCGAAATAATAGATTCGATTATATTCTTTTCAAAATCTATACACTAACAATTTATTATTGTTATTGAGATTAGCTAACCACAAATCAGAATAATATTTACTACAAAGTTTATATTATGTTGTCTCTTTTATTATTTAGGAAGCTCCATATCAACTGTTATATATTAACATTTTCTATACAGATTCTCAAAAGACATAGTTTGATTCAGAATAAGTGTACCCAGGACTTATCAAATGTTATGACGATGTCACACTATGTACAATATTGGCCTTCCAATCTGCCTCTTGGCCATAACTCAACATAACCAATTCAATATTTCAGCTGTGAAAACTGAAATAAAAGATTAGATTAATAATTATTGATCTCCGCTACGCTACACACTGATCACTGATGTAAGGATAAAAGAAAATATCAACTGGGATACTTTGTAACTTTAATGTACTCATACAATATACAAAATCCATGTTTGCTTAACATACAAGCCAACGGCGGTATTTACAGAGCACACGATTCACAGTCACACAACAATTGACAACAGAATTTCAATGTAAAGTAATATAAAAATAAAGAAATAAAAACATACCATATGAAATGTATGTGAATATCTAAAGTCTTTCACTCAGTGTATCGCATCGTTTCCACCTTAAGGCTTCCGCACACAATGTCGGCGGCACGAGCACGAGCAGACGACTACACCAGCCGGCGGCTGCTAATTACACAACTAGCCGACCCGGCAAACGATGTTTTGTTCTCTACCAGATCATTATATTCTTATTAGATAGGATAGTTTATCCTATCTCTCAAGTTGGAGGAAACAACTACATTTATAAAATTTCATTAAAATCGGTTTAGTGGTTTTGGAGATTAGCGTGAACGAACGAACGTGACACTGGATTTTTATATATTAAAGTATCTCTTGCTTTAGCTATTTTATGCATAAATGTCTGTTCTGAAAACTCGAGTCTCGACACTTTTATCAAATAAATCAGACCAATCCTGGTTTCATTGTGTGTCACCTGGTTTCCGTGACGACTTTGCGGATGCAACCTTTATAGTGGCACTTGCTATACACGTTCACTGGCATTGTGAGGGAGACTTTGTATAATAGTCGTTTGCTTGGGTACCTCTGTCCCATTCGTGTTTCAACCGTAAAGCAGTTGTATTTGCATGGCTGTGTTTCGGTTTGAAGGGAGGGATATGGCGTGAATTTACAGGGTACAGAGGAATAACACCTGAGTCCTCAGGAATGGCAACACATGGGGGGTATCATGGGCGTAACAGTATACTCTGTTATCTCCATGGTTCTGTTATGTTCATGTCTATAGGCGACGGTTACCACTTTCCATTAGGTGGGCCGTCAGCTTGTTTGCCATTCTAAGTTGTATAAAAAAAACATTGCAGTGTGGAGCACCATAAAACTCACAAAAACACAGTTACATGTTAGTGACATTAAGCGAAGCATCTACTTGCGATATATACGATAATTGTAACGGCCCGGCTCGAGTGCCGGCGGCATGGTGTGCAGGAGTCTTTACGCTAGCTAACATCACAACGCCTTACGAACTACACTAGGGCTATGTTCATGTGGAGCGCGGCTTGAGGTCGTCGTAGCACGCTCGCATGAATATGAAGTTCTTCTTGGCGGGGTTGAAGTGCTCGTGACCCTGACCATTGAAAGTATGATTAGTGTACAATTTATTTGTATACATGTATAATTACCAAACTGACGGTATACTTAATATGTTGCGTTACAAGTAAATGCTGTAGGTATAGGATTTACTTGTATGTATATGCTGAATCGGTTTTGCTGCTGAATTAATTTAGTGTTTACTCATGCCATCGCGAGTAGTATAATAGACTACACACGCTGCTGTATCCCATCCACAGAGGATGTCGTACAAGCTGCCCTTAGTCGCATCTCACAATAGCTCGAGAATGCAATGGAGTGGTGAAGCATTGCTTTCCTGTGGTAATAGCTCACACGAAAAGTAAATATATTCGAAATATTAAGAAATTTCGTCTTTTTCAAGTATTTAAAATTTCCACATCCACAGACATACTTCTTTTTAATGGATGATAATATCTATAAAATGGTAACCCCACTCCTGCTTACGGCATACTAGTGTGTGATGATAGGTGAGAATGAAAGCTGGTCAGTTGGCCCGTCCTGCATCCAATAAGAATTAATTGCAATAACGATGGTTTCCAGGAGGAAGTGTGTAGAAATTGACTTGATAGGGTATATTGCTAGCAATGGGACTATACAATCTAATCCATAAGAGAATGTCTTTTCCCCAAACCGTGCATATGTTATGCAACAGTTACCTTGGACCAGTCATAGCCGACGGAGTAGGCGAAGATCTGTCCGCTGTGGTTGAAGGCGCACTTGGTGAGCGGCTGGTCGATGGTCTCGGAGGACTTAAGCTTGGTGCGCGCGTCCTTGTCCCAGAACGAGAACGAGCCGTCCGAGCCCACCGTCGCCAGCGTGCCATGCACCGGGTGGAACGCTATGTCGTTCACCGCATATATGTCCTAAATGTAAACCAAATATGTGCGTATGGCGTGTTGTGAACCAAATATATATTTCAAAAAAAATATTTTGTTCTTTTTTTAGTACAATTTGGAATAGCAAACAAGATAACAAAGCACCTGATTGTAAATGGTATCTGTCACCTCGTAGAGATGTGTACAGTATCATAGATATTACAGAATACACTGCGATTTGATGTTCATGTTTCTTTGAAGTCTTTATGAACTGTCTTTAGTTATGATCATAGTTACCCTTCAAATTGAAACGCAACTATGCAAGTACAGCTGCATTGTGGCAGAAATACTACAGAGAGGCCCAGCAGATGATTTTACACAAAGTCTATAATGGTACATGGCTATAAACAAGGATATGGTCCGCCTGATGGTAAGTGGTTGTTGCAGCTCTTAAACACTGCTACACCAATGCATTGATGAGTGATCACTTGGCATCTAGTGAGCCACAAGCTTGTTTACCTCCCATTCCCATAAAGAAATATGTGTTACCTGGTATCCACCAGTGGTGCCCTGCGACGAGCGGTGGCACTTAAATGTGAAGTTGTCCTTAGGGTTGGTGGGGTTGACGTATTGTATGGCGACACGGCCCTCGACGCTGCCAAGCGCAAAGCCGGTGGGCTGCTTGGTCTTCTTGTCACGAAATATCGCGATGCAGCGGTGCTGGTGCTTGAGCGGGGCTTCCGCGCGCTTGAACTCGGCCGGCTTGCCCTCCAATGTATACAGGCAGATGCCGCGGTCCGCTGTGCCCACTGCTGCCATTGGGTAGTCCTGCCAGGTTTTGGTCAATTACGATAGTTTAATAATTATTAAAAAATAGTAAGGATAAAAAAAATAAAATAAAATGTTTATTGTGTAAAAAGATGTGCCAATTTTTAATTTTTAAATATTTTTTTACTGAGATTCTTACAACCAATATTCATTCTTGTAGTTCACTTTTGCTTGTACGTTTTATATGTAACTTACAAGTGCAATAAAGAATATATATGTTTTGAATTAGTGTTTTAAATATGGTGGTATATAATAAATTACCATGTGCAGGGCCACTCTATGGATACATTGAATATATAATATAAAATTACTGAACAGAGTTACTGTAAAAATAAATGTGACATGATCACAGAAGCAGAAAATCCAGAATCAACAAAGACCATATGATAATAAGCGGTAATCAGTAAACTCACAACATCAGCGCAGTAACACCTCTCTGGCAGGTTCATCGCCATTATGGGCGCGCTGCTTCGCGTGTCCCAGAACTGAAATGATCACAAAGACATGATAATAAATGTTGTAAGTTCAGACGTTGGAAGCCTGTCGATACAGATCAACCAGTTAGATTTAATAAAAAAAGAATATCTCTTCTGTGGCGAAAAAATCAAAACCAAATGAAATGACAGTTTGAGTTATACTAGTTATACATATTATACATACTTTGGAACTGAACTTTCAGTTTAAATATATTTCAAATGGAACTTCTTTATTATCTTTCAGCTATTATGGTTTTCTTTTAATGTCCAATTACTTGTTGCTAAGTTTAACACGTGCACGCCGGCGCGGGCCACCGGTGGCCTTCGCTAGACGGTCTCATTGGACGGCGCGTACCACCAGCGGTACGCACTAGATTGTCTTATCTGGCGGCGCGTACCACCGGTGGTACGCATTCGATTATGAAGCGTAGTATCAATTAGAGCGCCGCCTTGCAGCAAAAAACATTAAAGTCGGTCCCGGCGTGAACGTGTTAAAGATTCTACTGATACATGATTCCATCTGGAGAGAGGAAAATCTAGACTGTTTCTTTTATGCAGGTTCCACTCACATCACCAATGCATTTGATATTCCTAGGATTTTCTAAGTTTGTACCTTTAGTGTTTTGTCCCAAGAGGCGGTCATTAAGCAGGTATAGTTTGGTGCCTTGATCCAATGGCACGTCTTCACAGGTGCATCATGTGCTGCCACCTGGCACAAGCAACATATTAGTGGCATCAGAGTATGAAAAACAGTACACTATGATAAATATGGTGCAATACTATGTGAATTAGATTCCATTTTCTATATTTAGCATTGAAAAATTTGATTTATGAAGAAGGAACAATTTTTTCAATGCATTAGAAGGCAATGAGTATATATCTTAGAAGCATATGGGTGATTCTTTCTTTCATGTCATAGTAATCACAGAATATTGTGTATGAATGCATTATTGCAAATATGCAGTAATAAGTGTAATAATAACTGCATGCAAGTAGATAAAAGAACATAATAATAATAGGATAAAGGAAGAAAATTGGGTGCAAGAGGACATGGTTAGTACTAGACATGATTAGCAATGAATTACATTCTTACTTGCATAGTTTGATTTGCAGCCAGGTCCCAACATTTCACACTTTTGTCTGTAGATGCCATGAACACTTTGGTACCATCCTGTAACAGTATATGAAGCCCGTTTCTTAGTCTAATTTTTTCTTGACATTGTACTTTTAATAAATCTTACACTGTAATCTTTTAGAGGATGCAATAAAGAGTATCTATCTATGAAGCACAATTTTGAATATAAGCCCTCTCAATGTTTAACAGACAGAGATACAAGACAATTTTATTTTTAATATACAGATAAGTATAATAAGTATCAAGTATGGCTTACATCATGCCATGCCACATCAAGTATAGGCCCATCCATGCTCTGTGCTGCTTTGGGTATTGTTTTTCCAGAAGCCTCTACCTCCCAGCATCTTGCCTGCAAAATATTAAATGATGGGATTCAGTATTATCAGTGATAATTTAAATAATTATAAGGCTTTTCACATAATTAAAAAATGATTTATTTAGAATTTGCAAATAAGTTAGATAGGTCTTTATTGGAATATTTAAACTCATGAATGAAATACATTTTTTTTACAACACAATGGGGCAAACAATCATGCAGCTCACCTAATGGTAAGTGACTACCGCCGCCCATTAGATAATAATCTTTATTTCCAATAAACACTAAGTTTGGAGTTTATAAGAAATTATTTTTAGGTTAGTCTTATTCGAAAGTTCCTAATGTTGCATTTTTCTCGCCATTTAGAATTGGGGGTGGAGAGTTAAATAAATAAGAGCTCAATACCCGACAATCCCAACTGCCAGCAATGAGGAAAGTTTGCGGCACAGACGCCGGTGAGAACTCCAGCGCCGAAACTGTATCTTCTGGTGGAGAGGTCACTTCTAGATCATTGTTAGGGTTAGGGTTGCTGCTTCCACTTCCCAATTGATTGAACATGATGCTGTTTCCTAATTAATAAGTTTTGACTATGAAATAACATAAAACACAATGATTGACTTAAGTGTATACTTAATAATAACACCAAAAAATCGACTAAATATACATAACATTCAGTAGTTGATGCAATTTATATGACAAATGTTCTTACACTTCTTATAAACCAATGTATTAATATTATATTTTTAAAACTTTCAAATATAAACAAAAAAATTCTAATTCGTTTTGAGGTTAATATTTTTTTTTAAATAGAACACAAAGAGCAAGATGAAGTTTATTGAATAGAACCATAGAAAGAGAACAAACGAAACGGTGTTGGTAAACGAAATATCAATGTCAACTTGACTGTCACTGTCATATGTCAATGTCAAATGTAAATTTTTCGCATAATTTAATAACCATACTAGATAAATTATTTTGCCAATAGCCTTTATTTAATTTATAAACTGTTATATTTCTCCAAATCGCATTAATACATATACAATTTTAATGAATTTTGATACCTATTCGATTATTAATGAATTTTGATATGAAATAAATCGACAACTTCGCTCGCTACCGATATTACTACTGATACAAAAAATTAATGATAGACTTCGTAAGGAACACTAGCTTCAATATGAATGCAATGGATTACATGCCAATCAAGGAGCTGAAGCCGGGGATGAAGAACATCAATGCTTTGTTTATAGTGCTCGAGGTCGGTCCTCCGACACTGACGAAGGAGGCACGCGAGGTGCGCACGCTACGTGTCGCTGACACCAGCGCCTCCATTAACTTGTCGGTGTGGGATGAGCCCGGAGCGCTTTTACAGCCCGGCGACATTGTCCGGCTCACGCGGGGTTATGCCTCGCTATGGCGCGCCGCGTTAACTCTGTACTCTGGGAAATCTGGTGACATTCAGAAGGTGGGTGAATTCTGCATGTTGTTTAACGAGCAAGTGAATATGAGCGAACCGCAGCCGACGCCGCCACCTTCCGCGCCGGCTGGTTTGGCAGTGCCCGCTTCTGATCGCACGAACGGCGCGCACCCCACTCCTCGCGCGCACCAGCCGCCGAACCAGCCAGCCGGGGCTGCCGCGGGCGGTGTGCAGCACGCGCCCAAGTCCGATCGGTTCACGCACAACTCCCAGGACCACAACAAGCACCCGCACAAGACCTACGTCCGGGGACGGGGACACCAGCGCGGCAACAACAGGAGGTAACTAGGAGCTCGTGACCACAGCACAGACTGAACTTTAGAATCATGTGATATCTATGAATAAAATAGTATTGTCTTAAATATCATAAATATTTAACATTAACTCTCTTATACAAACTATTACTATACATACAATGACTAACTAGCTTTGTACATTTGTAGCTAAATAGATTTATAAAATAAGGGGGCAATGATTAAGTCAATGTTTGTAAACTAGTGGCACATTAATCAATATGGTAATAACAAAAATTGCTATTACCATAATTATTTTAACTTCAATGTATTTATGTTTGTTACTATACATCAACCATTATCTGTCTTCTGCTGAACATGGGGGGGGGGGGGTAACATGGGCTGCCACATAAATTGCTATAAGGAACGGCCCTGAATCACATAACTCCCTGCAATGCATGTATTCTTGTGCTCTGTATGTGATAATTTATCAATATGAGGAAGATTCATGGGACAGTATGGAGGTAGGCACAAGGCAGTGCTGTTAGTTTGTTTATTCTCATTTTCATAACTTACACATATGTATACTTATATAATTGTAAATTACAATTATATAAACAGTTTCAGATGCTTTTTATTGAAGTAATTAAACTTTCCAATACATTTTATTTTCTGAACATAAAATTTACCATGTGTGCCCCAGCATAGAATGGGCCACCTTTTCCTTTCTTGGGAGTGTCATAAGAGGCGACTTAGGGGGAGTGAGGTATGGGCAGCAGCATCCCTCTTAAAACATCTCTAAAAGCCTAACTGCAGTTGTCAACCCGTCTGCCCAGCGTGGCAATTACTGGCAAGACTTATGGGGAAGGCTTATGTTCAGCAGTGGACAGTTAATGGCTGAAATAATAATAATAATAAATACATAAAAATAAGTAAAACATAATAATTTTCAATGATTTGATTTAATAACATGTAATATTAAACACATAAGTGTACATTAAGAACAAAATATATAAAATATTTATTAAATGATGTAAAATGATCTTAAGCTGTACCCGGGGTGTAAAGAATGGTTACTTACTAGCTGTATGTACGATTTATATAAGGGATCTATCCTTTTTTTATGTAACAATAAAAAAAGTTTCTGTTTAAGTGTTAAAAAGGAATGGAATTTCTCAATATTAATTGAATTTTACATTGGATATTAAGTAATGGAGATTGTATTTGCACGTTCTATTCTGGTGCAAATTAAAATTGTTTTTATGATTTTGATGATATCAGTTTTATTTGTATAGTTAGTTTTATTTGTGTACAAATATGTTATGTTATTGTACATATATTAATTCTTAACTGATAACAATAATTCTATTATTTTTGATTCAATAATATTGGTCTATGTTTCATTTTAAAAATATATAATAAATACGCTTACAACTTTACATTGTATTATAGTAGTCGGATAAATTGTTGGTGGTTGCCGATGTGGTAAATGTATTACTCGATATGCCCACTGTATGCCAAGTATATTTGAAATAAATGATACAAGCGATTCTATTACAGTTTATGTTAATAACAGTGTTTCCCATCACTAGGGAGGTAGTGGGAAATCTAAAATTGTTATTCGCCCTTATTGTGCATGAGAGTGGATCGTGTCCTAATAAATAAATAATGTCACACCACGTATGCCAAGTGACACAAACAACTGATATTTGTATATTATTTTCGCTTTTGTATATTCCGTTTGTTTATTCACTGTGTACGTTGTTATGTTCGACAATTGTCTGTTGGCGAAACGAAACAACTACAATAAATCTTATGTATATAAAGCTTATTTTGTATTTTATTGTCATTGCAAATACAATGTTTGTTTTTTTTTTAATGTTTAAAAATGGTATGGTAACCCCGACCACGCTAACGGGATACGCTGGCGGAGCACCAGTGAAGGGTGATCGATGAGAATGAAAACAAGCCAGTTAGCTCATCATGATGAATTCATTAGGAATTAACCATGATAGTTTCCAGGGGGACCGTGAGGAGGTCGACCTGGTTAGGTATATTGCTAGCAATGGGGTTCTCAGTCTCCATTACTAAAAATTCCTTCCCCCCCCTTGATGACACTTAATATCCATTTACTGTAGAGTCTTAAGTTGTATTTATTTGGAAAAATACAGTTAGTAGGTACCAACAAGCGCGGTGGCAAACGCTATGGATTACAAAAAAAGACCATTTAAAATCGGTTCAGTTTTGTTGAATGTTGAAATTTGCAAATACAGCGACGAACAAAATTATCGAATAGAAGTTTTGAGAAATACATTCAACTAATCAACATCATAATCTAAGATTTCTAGTCACCGTAGGGCCGGCTTCAATCATACATGTATCTAACATACATACATATGTTCTCACATACAATTTAATAAACTCTAACAATTGGAGAAAGGATAATCAAAAACCGTTTAGAAACGGCCAAGATATCACATAAAAATCAGATCAATTCTGAACTTCCTCTAGTTTCAAGTTGGTTGAACTTTAATCGACTTTATTTAATAATTATATGTAATAATTTACTTTTAATTATATTTATTTATCTATTTGAAGTATATATAAAATAATTATAACCTACTAGACGTTAAAACGTAACCTATAATTTTGATGATATCGAATGCGTGATTGACGTGTCAAATGTATCCAAAGAATTATTAAATCAATTAACGTAACCTAGGAATAACATCTCCAACATGACCTTCATGCAGCTTCGCCTATATCTAAATATATTATGTGAAATAAGTATTATTTTCAAACTAGGAAAAAACCGGCTGGTTGTGTTATTTCTATGTTAGTTCCAAGTATTTTGCATTATATTATAGATGAAAATGTCAAACCAAGCTTGCGGAAGCGAAATTTGATTAATAATTTTATAAATATTATTATATCAGCCTGTCCACTGCTGGGCATAGGCCTCACACCCCCATAAATGGGGTATAGATATAGTTACAATAAAATATTTACTATCATGAAAATAGCTGTATAAAATTTCCATCTGGTATTTTTTTTAAATTCTGTGTGTTCTTGGGTCACTTCTTCCTATCCCGTGGGTGTCGTAAGAAGCGACTAAGGGAGGGCGAAATATGGACAACAGTATCTCTTTTAAAACACCTCCAAAGTCTAACTGCAGTTGCCAATCCGCCTGCCAAGCGTGGCAATTACTGGCAAAACCCCCCTAGCTGGCTTATGTTTAGCAGTGGACGGTTAAAAGCTGATATGGTATATTTGATAATTTTTTTTTTATTACTATTTTAAGGTTTTTTTTTTGTAAATCTTTAATATACTTACCTATACATACACAAGCACATTAAGACACATATACAGGGAGAAAGAAATGAAGACATTTATAGCTCTTGTTACCTAGCACGCAGTTACCGGCAGTAATTTATGACTGCTCCCGCTGCGGGGTCATTAATTGTGCTTCAATCGTTCAACCAGTACAAACGACATCAACGCATACCTACCGCATAGTACAGCGTAGGGCGAGCTCCCACTAGACGGGGCCACGATGGAAGGCAGTGGATGCAAGTGGCTCAGGAACGTGTCTGTACCTTACACATGTAGCCTTACAACCAGCCGCACACGGCAGCGATAAATTATTACCAATATATGTAAAAATAAATTTGATAGTTTATTGAAATTTTTTAATGGGTGAAAATAAAATAGTGACCACAAATGTTTATCATTAAGTTTACTTAAATAAAAAAATATATATTATTATTATTATTATTATTATTTATGATGTTGTCTGTGCTATCGGTATACATATAATGATGAGGCATCAGTACAGGATGAAATGGAAACTCCGCCTGCGCTATCGGTATACACTGGCGAGGCATCAGTGAGGGATGATTGGTGAGGATAAAAAAGCAGCTCAGTTAGCCCATCATGACGAATTCAACGATAAATTAGTCACGATAGTTTCCAGGGGAACCGCGTGGAGGACGACCTAATAGGGTATATTGATAGCAATGGGGATTTACTTCCACATTACTAGCAATCCCTTCCCCTTCGTCAAGAATTAGTCAAGATACATTTCTAGAGGAAACCGCGTGGAGGCCGACCAAACAGAATATATTGCTAGCAATAATGTTGGCGTATCAGGTCGGGTTACACTTCACCGTGCGATATTAAACAATACAGGAATTAAGTATACGTAAGTACCTACTTAAAAACAGCATACAAAAATTCGTTGGTATATTCGCTTAATTGGTACCTTTCATTGCAAATGCCAGTCCGACATTGAGATTGGATTTGGCTGTCAATTTGTTTATTTTAGCTGTTTAACGCGCCGAGTGCCCACTTGGGAATACAGTTGCGAATTGACCCTTGGGCTATCGTCCTCATTGATTAATCAATTTTAACAAATACATATTCTTTTATGTAAATAATTCATGAGTGATTCAATTTAGAGGGTTTCCATGCAATGATTCTAAGTTATAATAGAAATAAATATGATGTGAATATGTATTTTTTTATGCAATTTAGAATGGCAAAAAGCAGGTGGGCCACCTGATGGAAAATGGTAACCGTCGCCTATAGACATGGCCAGTACCATGGACATAATAAAGTGTACTGTTTCGCCCATGATATCCCCCCTGCGTTGCCATTTTTGAGGACTAAGGTATTATATCTTGGCACCCAGTAAATTCACTGCCATATCCCAACATTCAAACCGAAACACAGCCATGCAAAGATACCTGCTACACGCTTGAAATACGAATAGGACAGAGGTGCCTAAGCAATTGGCAGAGTTACATTGTTAGGTATAACTTTTCACCACTCTATATGTAAGATGTTGGAAGGGGGGCCCAAATGGAATAAAACAATAAACCAACGCAAGAAAAGGGAAACTAAGTAAAATCAAGCTGCTATTTGGTATTTGGAAGGGAATTCCATAGTCTAGCAGGTTGCACTGTAAGGGATTTGGTGTAGGAGCGGGAGTTGTGGATAGATAATTCCAATGTATGATGCTTTAGACAACGTTGATTGATGTTTTTGATTATTGATGCTATAGGAATTGTTGATGATTGCTCACAAGCATCAAACTTGAACCAGAGGCAGACTTTGTACAAAAGTCGATTGCTTGGGTACCTCTGTCCCATTCGTGTTTCAACCGTGAAGCAGTTGTGTTTGCATGACTGTGTTTCGGTTTGAAGGATGGGATATGGCGTGAATTTACTGGGTACAGAGAAATAACACCTGAGTCCTCAGGAATGGCAACGCATGGGGGTATCATGGGCGAAACAGTATACTCTGTTATGTCCATGTCTATAGGCGACGGTTACCACTTTCCATCAGGTGGGTCGTCAGCTTGTTTGCCATTCTAAGTTGTATAAAAAAAAACTTTTAAGTCTTAGGAGAGATTTTACCACACTCTACGTGTTCTACTGCTTGTACAATGGACAGTACTCAAAGGAAAGTATAGCTCGTGAGCGACAGTGAGGGAGTTCACCGTCATAACATAAAACCTGGATGGTTGCGTACAGCGCGGTTTCAGAGATGCTTTCTCCTTCGAACGCTCAGGTTATGGAATGAGCTTCCTATCAAGGTTTTTTCAAAAGACTAGGTTAGGAGGTTTTCCAAAAATGGGACAAAAAGATTTTTTCAAGGTTAGCATCGTGCACATAATACTTTTAGTATTGCAAGTGTTCATAGGCTATGGTAACAGCTTACCATTAAGTGGGTCGTATGTTTGTATGCCACCTCAGTGGCATAAAAAAAAGAGAACATACAAGATTGTCGGGTTTTTACCACAATGATTTATTTATAATAATTAACAGGCTGGTTGTGGATAGTTTTGTCACAGGAATTGTCTGAACTGATACCTGCTGCTGATTTTCACCGCCGTACAATCCGCCATAAATTATAATAAAGTTCCTTGCAAACATCTGGATGAGTGGAGTTCTTACACCATAAGTTTTTCAAGACACTTTCTTCCACGCACAACTACTTTTTGGAATCGACTTCCAGCAGCAGTATTTCCGAACCTATAGGACATCATAACCTTTAAAAAAAGAGTATATTCCTTATTAAAAGGCCAGTAGCTGTGTTATAAAAAAAAAAAACAGGCCATGATCACGAAGTAACTGATGTAATACTGCTTTGTAAGGTTCTGTAAAAAAACGTAGGTATTATTGGGTTGACTGTATGCTTGTATACTTTTGCTTGCTATTTTAAGTCATCTTGTGAACAAATATAGCAAAGGTGATTCAATTATATGATTCTCATGCACGAGGATTTAATTTAGAGTTTTCATTGATTCGTTTTACATAGATACCTATAATTGATGCCAACGAGCGTGACAAGTTATGATAATGTAAATACAAAATGTACTTACATGCACATAATTTGTAATTCTCATTCGGAATATTAAAACAAACTCTATAATACGATAATTTGCTTGTAATATGAAATAGCAAATAGCTATTTAAATTCTAACTGATATCAATGCAATTTTTGTTTTTTTTTCTATGATATTGGAAAGATATTATTATACATACTTTACATTTAAAAGAACACACAAGTAGACAAATTAAATTGATTTTTTTATGATACTTAGAACGATAAACAAGCAGATGATCCACCTTATGGAAAACACACATGTTCAGTGAGATATAAACAACAAATTGCGCTCAAAGGAATTACAAGATGCCCACGGCCACTTTCTATCATCGTACGGCTCGCCATCGACAGGGAGTTCACCCTCATACCCTACAGCCTAAATGGTCGCGTACAACGCGGTTTCAGAGATGTTTTCTCCCACGAACACTCAGGTTATGGAAT